GGTACCTAACTGAAATCTCATCGGCGGGGAATTTTCCGGTGATTCAGATGGCTGATCTTAGCCGAAGTTCAACTTTGGTGGAGGATCCTTTACATGCTTACTCAGGTCTGTCGTTGTTTCCTCGCACTCTGAAATCCTTGTCGAATCCTCTTCCTCCTCGTCTTTATCAATCAGACGATCTACACCAGACGCATACTCTCCTTCAATCTATGGTAAGTTCTTCAAACTCTCCTTCAATCTATTGTGAGCTTTTCCCTCTTAATCTGCTTGATACTTTTGATCTGATGGATTAGCTAGGGTTTTGTTTGCTCAGGGAGTAAATGGGGGAGACGATTCGAGTCGGTAATTTCACGGCTACGAAATTAGGTTTTGAATCGGGTTTGTTTAATCGCATTTTCTGCTTCGTTTTCTGTTCATCAGCTTCCGGATGTTCCCAAATGACGGAGATTAGGTTTTTGTTTAATCGCTAGTACCAAAACCCTTAATAGAGAGCGTCTGCTTCTTCTTTTTCGTGTAGATGCAAGCTTGATTTTTCAGGTTCTCTTCAACTAGGAAGAGATTCTGTGTAAACTGCAGATATTTAGCAATTAGCTTGAAAGTTTGGAGTTATCTCTGGATTTCCATTGAGCACAGCGAATGAGGCATAACAGCTTTATCTTTGGTCACTATGTAAGCTGTAGCAGAGAGCCTGCTAATGAATTATATGAAAACTGCTTTTAGTTGTTAAGAAATTCAGGAAGACATTTTTAGAAAACAAACCATGGCTTTCTCCATAGTCTTTGTAATGTGTATATTCCCTTTCAGATTTTTCTTGACATCTCAAGTTTTCGTTTTCTCAAACTTAACTATTTGCTGTCAAATCTTTTGTCTCTCTATTTCACAGCCTTTTGATATTCAAAAAGAACATCAGGAGCAGGCAAAGGCTATCTTAGATGACAGCTCAGAAGTTTTAAAGGAAGGCATTGAAACCAGTGTAGCATCTGAAGATATGAATGTAGGTGGCAAGATGAACGCTATTCCAAATAAACGAGAAAGAAGACCGGGACTAGATCGTAAGCGGGGACACTTTTCTTTCAAGCCTACGACAAGGTAAATATCAGTTTAGCAACTGATCCACTGATTTAGCATACTAATTCTTTCTTTATCACTTCATCTGATTCCTTTACAAAGTTCGTTGAAGCCTGTAAATGTTCTTGTTGCAGTCAACCACCTCAAAATGAACCAACCTTTGATGGTAGTAAATATCCAAATCCTGAAGAATACTTTGCTGCATTTGAAAGATATGAAAGTGAGTTATATCTTTTCTGATGTTCATAGCCTTAGTTCGTTTATCATATAACTCTCATTCAAATATGCTTTCTTTTCGCTGGATTTGAAATAGTTGCCAAACGAGAATGGCAGAAGCAGACTGGCACCGTTGTGACAGATACAGACCAGAACCAACCTTCGAGGCGCACTCGCAGACCAGGAATTCCAGGGTATGTGCTATGAGCAGCCCTGTAACTGCATATTTTAGAGTTGTTCCATTTGCATATTTTGCTTTCTGTTTCCCTTGATACTTGCGATTTCAAATTCCAGGAGGAAACGGGGTTCATACAAGCATACTTATACAGATAGTAATTTAACTGATGCTACCAACCTGGAAGCTTCAGAAGAGGAAAACCCCATTCCTTCTGAACAAAGCTTAGAGAGGACCACCGCTGCAGAGGTTACAACTGCGGACAGAGAAGTAGATGGTGAATGAGCACTTTTTGTGGAAAATAATTTCATGAGCTACTGTTATTGTTAGATCATGTTCGCTACCATTGTGTTAAATCTAATAGTGTAAACCTCTGTGTTCTGCAGATTCAGCCGTAGACACAGACAAGGACGTAGAAAATATTTTGACCAGGTTGCTTGCTTGCGATCCGGATGAGCTTGAGGGGGATAATGGCGTCAAGCTTGTGGAGGAACGCTTGCAGTTCAAGCCCATTGATGTAGGAATGCTTTCTCTCCCTGAATTTCAAGAGGTTAGGAAAACGGACTTGAAGGTATCTGGCAGGAACCCATCAAAGCGAAGGACTGTGTTGACAGATATACAGAATATGTTAAAAGGGATCCACAGTGATGGAGCTCGAAAAAATAGCCAGTCACCATCACCAAATCCACCAGGGGATCAGTTTTCATTTCCTGACAGCGACCATTTGCTTCCAGGAGATCGACAGTGTAGTGAGGTTGATCTAGCAAAGGATTTGAATACCTGTTCCGGATCTCGAGTGACCAACGATCCTGATAAAGTTATAACTAATGCATCCCCATCTAATGTGGGCACTATATACGTTGATAGCCCTTTCAACAGCTCAGTGCAGAAGACATCCAATGAAGATGATTCTGATACTCATTCTGGCATCCGTAGATTTTATTCAAGTCCAGATGGAATTGCAGATAACTGTAAGGACGATTGCATCACAAACAGAGATTCAGCCACGCTAGAGGTGAATGTAGACATGCAAACAAAAGGAAATAAGGGAGATGTGCCCATAAGTGAAAGTGAAGTAACAGATCAAATACAAAGACTGGTTAGTTTCTTTCTGACTGTACAAGACCTTTTATTGACATATCTGGACCTCATGTTGGTCACATCTCTTGTGGATTTGTTTGTGATATAGGCGGAATATGCCATTAGAGATTCTGCAAGAATGGATCCTTCTACTCTAGAAGAGGATAGCATCCCGTGTCAACAAGGTATTATAACCTTTTCTACCTGCATACTATAGTGATATCTCAAAAAGTAAACTACTTAATTTACTTATATCGTAACATAATTTGTACCTACTTGTCCATTAGATATTTCCATTAACATTTTCAGTTTGCTTAAAAATTGTGGCTCAAGAAGTTTCCTTGCGTTGTTATTTTGCCTGCCTACAGATGAATCCTCAAAATCTCCAAACAGAGCTCCAGAACAGTGCAACACAGTGGATGAAACCTTTAAACATGAAGAGCACATTCAAGGAAAACATGGAGAGGGAAATGACAACACGGACACCGCTTGTGGAGCTGAAGTAGAAAATGCTCAGGTTAGTTCCCAATCATTGTTTGTTCACCTGTGTGTGGCCTTGATATTAAGTCGAAGGCCAATTCTTCTTCATGTGCTCTCAATTGTTAGGCTCGTTCATCTTTTCTTTATGTTTATCCTTTGCAAATCGGTAAAGGTTCATAGTACTGTGCTGGATCATTTTTTAAAAATCCATGATAAAAATAACACTGAACACAATCATTGGATTTTGTGTCTTTTCAGGTGTTCTGTGTTAAAAATAGGGTGTAAGTTTTGTTTTTAGGCTAGGTCAAGTATGAACTTTATTTTAAACAAAACGAAATTGAGGGTTCTTTATTAACTTTTTTGAGCAGGAGGTTCACAATTCTTCACACAAAGAATCAAATAAACGAAGAAAGAGAGGATCTTCTGATAGCAGTATGAAAAAGCGAAGCAAAACTGTGCATGGTGAGAGTGAAGGGGACAAGCAAATGAAAACATTATCACATGAAAGTGGAGCAAAGAAGCAAACCAAAAAAAGATCCAACGAGAGAGGGGAGAAGAAGCAAATGAAAACAGTAACACGCGAGAGTAAAATATTCTCTCGTAGGAAAAGTCTTGCAGGTACACATAGACTTGCCAACGAAACTAAACTTTATTACTTATGCATCATTCAAAGCTACTAAACCAACATGTGTTTTTCTTGCCTCTCTCGAAGGTGCTGGTACGAAATGGGAATCTGGTATCAGACGAAGTACGAGGATTAAGTCGAGACCACTTGAATACTGGAGAGGTGAAAGATTCCTGTTCGGACGCATTCACCAGAGTAAGTCAGCAATATTCGACTTTACACACATCGATTTCAATCCGAGTGTTTTGTACTAATTCATAACTTGTCTTTGTTTTTCTAAGGTTTGGCTACTGTTATCGGCATAAAGTATGAATCCCCGGGAAAGGAGAAAAGCGAAAAGCCCAAATTGAAGGTGAAATCATTTGTCTCTGATGATTATAAAGAGCTGATTGATTTAGCTGCCTTGCATTGAAAAGAATCGTAATCCTTGGGAGCTAAAGCGATCAATCATCCTTCTTTTGACCATAATTTCTATTTGATCATATGTCTTGTATCTACAACCATCACTTGGGGTCCAAACTTGTCACTGTCTTTCAATTAAACTGCAACTGTTTTAGACTTTTGAAAACCGAACCGAGAGTTTCAACTTTCAAGTTGTATCTTCCATGTTAAGCAGCCAAGTTGACTTTGTAACGTGAACAGTCTCAAAGTCTTTGGTATTCTTCCCAAGGCACTTTTTGTCCCCACGTTTCCTTTAAAGCCGCCTTGAAAATAATCTCTTAAATTAATACTTCGAGTAACCAAAACAAGCTTCTTTTAAGTAAAAGTGTAAAACTATGTTAATCATAGCCCCTAGTATAAATGAAACTTAACAACTAACCAAAACTTTTCTATGTAGCAAAATCATACCCTTTGAATCTAGAAGTTTTTCTCTGTTTCAATATATATAAGATGTTTTGACAATTCTATATACTTTTTAACTCTATTGAATATTGTTTGACGACTAGTATTTTTTAGTTTTTTTATGATTGGTTAAATTATTTTTATCAGATATATTAAATAATACATTTTAGACGAAAATAGTTTTTTAAATTCCGCGCTTTTAACCAAAATATTTTATATTTTGAAACGGAGAATTATCTTTTTTTATTAACCAAATTAACCCATATGTTTACCAAGAAAGGTTGTTACTCAAATTATGTTAACCAAAACAATTGAGTAACCAACTTTTACCTTTTTCTCTCTCATTTCTCGTATCTTTCTAACCAATTGGTTACATTTTATATCATAACTTTTTTTTTTTCATTAACTAAATGGACCTTTACACTAACCATTTAGTTTTTAGGTTACCTGGTATTAGTTTAATTGTCTTTATTAGACAGTCAATTGAAATCAGACTTGAAAAAGTTTTGGTTTTGGTTAGTTGACATTTTATTTTTTCGTAATAAAACCAAAAAGGTAAAACGAAATGTCCAATCTGATTCAGCTGTTCAGACTTTTTTTACTTGAGAACACAATATTGGTCCCCTCTTGATCCACTTTTCTTGGGTCGTGTCTCTCCGAAAATAAACTTTTGAGTTGAAATCTCGTTTTATTGAGTATGGTCCTAATCTTTTGATAGAAGTAGCGTCTTGATTTTCGTACTAGTATTTCACTTTTTAGGTAATATGCCAATATTGGCAATAACCCACAAATTTGGAAGAACAAGATTGAATCTGACAATATACTTATTTTGTACGCTCGAGTTTGAAATTTCCGTGCGAGTAAAAGTATTGAAACTTCGACTAGCAGTAAATCCTTCTGTCTTTATGGACCTTTCTCGAATTTCGTCGTCCGCTTTTTACGCTTGACTTCGTCAATCAAACTAGACTTTTTTTTTTTTGGTTGGACAAACTAAACTAACAGAAGTCAGAAACGAGGTGACAAAAAAAACATATAATTATTTCACTACACTGGTAAATTTTTTTAGAAAGTACTGCACTGGTAATTGAAGAGAAATAACACATACACGTGAACAAATTGGATTACGATGACAATGAATTATATAAAAACAAAATACAAGTTGAAGAAATTCACTGGCACAATCTTTTACTTTTTATAAAATTTTGATTTGATTTGATGTCGACCGTACAAACAAATATGAGTCCGCCTTTTTTTTTCACGTAGTAAATATACATAAACAATAATAATTAACATGTCTTCCGCTGACTAAATATATATTTCTGTTAAACAATTTGGAAAAGTAATAACTAAACCGATGTATCGATACGGAAAATGACGTATTCTAGATTTAAATAAGTAATCCATTATCATTCGTAAATAACCAGTCAAATTAATCTACTTTCTGTCGCTCTTATATCACCAAAAGATTGTTCATATTCATTTGGTGTTTTACAAGATATTTCATTCCTTTTCTTGTCATAGTTGTGTTTTCTTTAGATATGATTTAAGTATTTTCTATTTGTATGTGTATTGCGTTGACATAAAGAGCCGGCAAACGATGCTTCTTCCCGTTGGAATGTCGACACCGTATCGTTTGTTACTATCCAAGTCAGACTTCCGATCGAATGGTGCAGGACATAATAGATGTAGTACG